TACGTTGACCATAGAGAGTGCCAAAAACTATAAGCCTTTAAATGGCTACAGAGAGTCAGGAAGAATCCTTCTACAAACACCATTCAGGAGACCCCCCAGTAAGGAATTCAAACCCTCCTTCTCCACAGTTACACACACACATATGTATATACGTACAATGCATATAGAAATGGTACGAGCACAGCATCTGTCCAAGACACTTGGACAATCCATTAAATAAACTATATGCCTCCGTTTGGCAGATTGGGAGATACTGCTGCAACAGAGGGAAAATAAAAGCACTAAAGAAAAGTATCGCCTTGGAGCAAAGTATTGCATTACATACCACAGAGCCCGAGAAAGGGAGATACAGAAAGACTCCAAGACCACACTGTAAAAGCCAAGTGTCTAAATAAGGATGTAAGGCATATTAAGCCCCATAAGTTAAACTATCCTGATTACTAACTACTGTGTGGTAGTTGTGTTTGTACAGATATGACAAAGCTGCTCTGCAATGTGGCTTCCTATAACGCCTGTGATAGGAAACAAGTTTACTTGAGCATTTTTTTTCCTTTTGGGTGGATTTTTTTATTTTTTACTTTAAAGGTCTGCGGCTAAGTGTTTCATACCTACTCTCTGCAATTGTGGTCCCTTCAACCTCAGTGACTGTTCTGAAATGTTCTGCTTTGTTCATTTGTTTTCGATGTCACGGGTTGATCCCTGGTAGAGCTTTGCTTGGTAAAGTCATTACGACTCAGCCAAGCATTCTGTCACCATCACAAAGTTTTGCCCTCTAGCTATACACTGTATTTCTTTTCTATTTCTTTATGGTTTCTTCTGAGAGCAACACGCTTTTACAAACTGTTTCCTTTCAAGGCCCTTATGAGGTCACATCCCTTGAAGTCAACACTTTTCCAATCTCAGCATAGAGGTGGAAAGACCAATTGCCCAGGCTTGGCTTCAGATACCTTAGCAGAAGGCTAAGACCCTGACACAAACATCAGCCCTGTAGAAAAGTTGGTGCAAGTGTTAATGCATCACCCATTACCCTGGTCATCCACCGTCCCTGTTCACAGCCCACTTGCAGTTGTTTTGTTGGTTTTTTTTCCATGAGGCCACTAGATTACTGCAGGCTGTGTGAGGGTGCTACGCTGTGAACATTTTCTCTAGCAGCACAAGCCCGGGAGAAACCAGTGCTTACTCTGGGACGCTTAGAAGTACAAGGGTGTGTGCTATCAGCATCCTGCACCTCAAAAGTGTGCTACAGCAGCTGTCTGTTTGGGAATGCGCAGGCACAGGTAGGTCTAGAGATGAGTCTTAACCACCAGGCATTGCCCTGCAGTCTGATAAATGTTCTTGAGGAGCAGGACAGCTCATTACCACAGTGATGAATCAGTGTTTGCTGACAAAAGGCCCTTTTCTCAAGGAATTCCACATCAGCCCTAGGTGTGCCATAAGTGCTTCAGGCTCTCATAAGCCCTAATTAGCTAATTGTTCAAATGATTTCTCTGTTATTCATGGAGCCCGTACCACTGAGCACAAGCCTGTCAATTGACATGTGGTCGCTGCAAAGAAACCGTGTTTTTCCAGGGTGACGCTCCTGCAGGGATCACTGTGCCCATCATAGCCCTCCAGGACCTTCTCTAGGCGTTGCAGCCGCTTGGGCCACTCTTCTGTAAAGCCCCATGATTCACTGCTGCAGCAGTGCAGAGGACTCCAGCATCCCCATATCCCTTTTCTGCACTACTCCTTTCCCCCAAAATTCGAAAATTCTTCAGCCATCTTCTCCAGTTGTGTCCCAGGTTGCCTTCGCATTTGAGGTGGGTGAGCGTGCTCCCTTCAAGCAGAGATTTAGTTCCCTCCCAATCCATAGGGAGAAAACAAACAGGAATCATAAGAAGAGACTGTAATTTTTTCTTACCCCCAGAGCTTTGAGGCCTTCTTGATGCAGATTACAGGCCTGTTACAGACGGCACAGTGATTTAGAGCACTAGCCTGGGACTCCAGATCCTACTTCCATAAACTTCAAGGTTGACCTTGGCAAAATCTCTTAGGCTGGAATTTCTCTTGCCTGAAAACAGCCCTCTAAAAGCTAAGCAACCAGGCTCCCTCTGCAGCCAGTGGAAACAGAGAGACAGACACCTTTTTTTTTTCACATCTCAGATACATATGTAAGACGAGTGACATGAATCACTTTTTCTGAAGATACTAGCCTCTCTCTGTACTGACTGCAAAGGGCTCTAACATGACTGTTTTGCGCTTAACCCCTAACGGTTCAACCACGTGAGCAAGGACAAGAATTTTAAAAGCACACAGGTCCCACGTCTCAATTTCAGAGGGAACTGAGCAGTGAAGTCTTGTAAATACAGGCTTTAGAAGCTCTGCAGTGATGTTTCTGCTTTGTAAAACCGAACAGTAATTTTTACTGGTGACGTTTAAAATGAGCTTGAGCTTTTCAGGTGTTACGAAGAAATAGACAGAATCACTCAGTATTTATTGTCCCTGCTGGTAACAGCTGCCCTCCGTTGCTGGTGGTGGATACTGTTCACAGCAAAGGGGCCACAACCCTTTCTTCACTGATACATCCCCGAGACTTCAGGATTATAAGAGATGCTCCAGTCTCCTTTACATGCATCCAGTGCAACTGTCTGAGCCCACATCAGCTCTTGAAGCTCTTTGGAGAAGACTTCTGGAAGGAACAAAAGCAAACAAACAAAATTGGCAGCACTGAATAGCTATCCCTGATACCAGCCGCACTTGCTAAATATGACTATTAATCTCTGGAGGGAAAGCAACCTCTATGACAGACAGGTGCTAGCCTGGCATTGCTCTAGAATCTCTTCTCTGCTTGTGCTGTTGACCTCAAACCCTGTGTCCTCCCCCCCAAAAAATTAGGTGTTTGACTGGAGCACCCAGGTTGAGCTGCCAATGGGAAGAACAGGTACTGTCTGAGGGCAGTTCTGAGCTGAGATGCGTTGACTTCTGTCTGGGCTACACCGACAAGCAAGAAGCCCAGGGCAGTGACGGATCTTACACAGCCCAGTGTTTATGGGATGTATCCAGGCACAAATATCTGATTTTCCAGCAGGACTTGGCCTCTTCCTACCGCAGAGGGATGCAAATTCACCATAACTGACCATTGCAAATACTTTCAGCCTAGGGGATATGTAGGAGGAGATCTGGAGACTCCTGCTCAATGTCCCCTGCACCAATGTCCTCCTGGCTAGGCAGAAAGAACTAGCCAAAAAAAAGACGGTCACCAAGGCTGCCTTAAACTGAAACCAGGGATCGGTCTCAACTTCTGGCCAGAATCAAATTACCGATAGTAAAAAAGAAAAAAAGAAGAGGGACAATAAACCCACCCTCTCCCTCTTCATTTGCTCTTTGCTTATTCCTGCACTGAGTGTGGCTGGGCAGAACCTGGGAACCTTCTTGCTCATGACCCCATGAGACACTCACGAGCAAGGTTTTGGGGGTGTCTACTCCTTGCACGACCACATTTGTTGCTCTAGACCAGTCTATACCTTCTATAATCCTCCCGCCTCTTAGGATCAAGCAAACTGAGTGATGCTTATGTTTAGTTTTTACAGTTACACTTAACAACATCTCCTGCCAGCAAGTACATCCAGCCCCAGGCTGATGCTGGTGTGTGAAGGTCATCACAAAGACGTGCTGCGGTTGGGACTAGCTGCCGGCAGAGAGAGCCAAAGCACCAGACAACAGGCGCAGCTTAATACATTCTCAGGGCTGCACTTAGCATTGTGCTGCCAGGGGTGAAGGGAAAACATCTTTTGATGCTCAAGGACCTTCTTACTAGGGCATTCAGAGCCACGTGTATTTTTACCACCCACCTGTCAGCGTTCCTCTCTGCAAAACAGCCTTCCCTTCAACCAGCCATCCCTTCCCACCTGCCCTTCTGCTGCTACAGTCTTTAACACTGACAGCCAGCCTGTTTGAGCTACCCAAAAAAAAACAGGCTCCCACCAGAAGGTGGTGCCGATATTCCACGAAACAAGGGGCAGGCACTTCACAACACAGTCCGCTTTTGGGCAACACCTAGAAACACAGCCGCACCGCTCCGAAAGGATCAGAGCAAAACCACAGGCCACCTGATGCCAGAGTCCTTCAGAAAGCAGGGTGACATTTTTGCAGATGTAATCTGCAGCGTAGCTCACCACGGTACGGTGCAGTGTATTTTTTTCTTAAGGGTTAATATCTTACTGGGCTTTTTAGTGAACAGAGCCCTGCAACTGCAATTGTGAGGTTAATAAACCCTTCTGGACACTCACCTGCTAACCGAAGAGCACACAGCCCTGAGCCAAGGTGCTCATTTTTGTATAAAGCCACATGTGGTTTCTGATTTCCGTGCAATACTTTGATGCTACCCCAGCTTGCTCTCGATGGTCTATCAAAGGCAGATGTGGAACGAGGAGCACGGAAAGGCCATAGATTTGCTGTGATATATGAAGGCACCAGCTCAAAACATCAAAAGGGATACAGGCTTCAGCCTCTCCTTCAGCATTTTGTTGTCTCCTGCTGTCTGCTACTGTACTGGCAATTTGCATTGCAAAACAACGGTTGCAACTTCAGCAGACTCCCTGCTTGGTAGCTGCAAGAGCACGCAGGTACCGCTCAGTTATTTGACACAGGTTATGTCCCCTGTCCAGCCAGCAGCCTGTCACATGCTATGTCAGGAGCTAGCGTGAGGGTGGGATGCTGCAGGGCACCCATGTCACGTCCCTCTTTCCCCCTGCAGCTCTGTGTCACAGCTCCATGACAGCAGTGGCTCATTGCCTGGTCCTCATCCAGAAGAGGAGACTTCACTGCCCTGGGCAGCAACATGCACTACTCTCAGCAGGGGTTCAGCCAGGTCACTTCTTCATTAAACATCCCATCTTTGAGAAAGGATATCACCATGGGGCTCTAAAGTACAGCAGAAAATTGCCAGGGCACAACCCAAAAGGTTTTCTAACGCATGGGCTTTGTGATTTACAGTTACCTCTTCTCATCACCGAAAAAAGATGGAGCTTGGAGAGGTTGTCGTGGCTGAACATCCTGGTGAGAGGCAGCTGTACGCAGAGCAGAAGCCAAGAGCCCAGGACCTGCTGTGGAGAAGCGGAAATCGGCTCTGCCACGTTTTCGGGTATCTCACTGGAGAAATGAAAGAATATGGAGAGTGGATAAAAAGTAAGCATGGGGATACGTTTGGGGCTCAGTGGCTAAGAAGAACTAGCTCGGAATACCTATATTGCCACACTACTTTCAGTGCTGGGGCATGAGATGAGGGGCCATTTCACCCCCTCAGGCAGAACAAAGGCAGCGTGGTCCAAGCTCACTGCAAACTTCTGGCCTTTTAACCCAAATTATTTTATTCTCAGGAAGAGGATCTCACTGCATCCTCTTGCCATTACCATGGCTGCAGGCATAACTCAGCACAGGCAAAAGACATCTTTTACACTTAATCAGTTATGTGTCATTAGCATCATGTTCCTTATAGCGGTGCCCAGGATCACACGCCAGGGCTGAGGATTTAGTCTTGTTTGTAAGTGCTTTGGATCAGCAACCGTCTCCTTGTCTGTGTGTGGGCTCAGGAAGGGGACTTGACTCTTGATTATGTGGGCAAAGGCTCTTGTATTACCAGCCTGGGGGGAGCAATAAGCACTGTGGCTGTTATGTGGCTATGAAATACAAAGCAAGTACTGATCTCAAAGGTTTACTGTCCAGACAGGAACTATACATGAGCAGATGGTCCGCGTTACCCAGAATTACTAGGGATTTGGGGCTTTGAGAGGCTATGTAAGACTGTGGGTCCTCTGTCAAGGCTAGGTTCTTTAGCAGTACAACTCCAGCAACAGGAGAGAAATGAGAGACAGCCATGTACAGCCAGGCGGTGCAGTGGCTATCGTTGGTGGAGGACATGGGCTGAGAAGCCTGCAGGCAGAGAGCTCAGCAGACTGGCAGTGTGATCCCCAGCCACAGGGGATCATCTCCTCCTGTTTTCTCTAGTAGTCTGTGCTTGGTAGACAGCTTTTCTTACTCAATGTCCTGAAAAGATTTGGCTACTGCCCACTGGTTATATTTGAATACTTATAGTTAATACCTCTGTCCAAAACCAAGAGTATTGCTGACATAATTCATAGCTCAACACCAAATATTAGTAATAATTATTCCAGAAAAGCTGGATTATTTTTCTCTAAGGAACTCACTCCTCCCTGGTTGTAACTGCCTGGCTCCCCAACAATGCACAGCCTGGGGGATGCTTGTGAAGCCACCCCTCAACTTGCACTCTGGCCTCTTGGGAGGGCTCTGCCAGGGATGCTGAAGAGATGCAGAGCGGTACCCAGCCCTTCAGAGACCCTCTACCTAAGCTACTCTCATCAAAAAGCAAAAATTGAGCCTCGACTGTGAATGCAACACAGGGAGGGAGTAGGGGAGAGGGGAGTTTTGGGGAATAAGTGGTCGACCAGATTCAAAAAGTAGTCTGGCACTTTATGCTGTGTCTAATTAACAATCTAAAGTAATTGAATTAATTTTAAATATTTAAGAAGATGAACGCTGAATATACATATTGCGTGAACATATTGTACACGTAAGTAGCTCCTCTTTCTCATTTATTCTTCTTGCATCACGTTTAAGAAGACACAACAGTACGGAAATAGTTTCACCTTTCCCAGAAAAAGACCTCCAGTCAATTTGCAGTAGAAGAGCCAGCAGCAAAAAGTTATTGTAGTGCTACAAGACGCTCCTCTGCCCATGGGGATCATGAGGAGCACTGTGCATAGATGCCCTCGGACAGGCTTCCCTCAGGCCCACACCCATCCCACCTCCCCCCTGCACCCACCTGAGGTACCCAAGTTTGGTGCCCACCTTCTCTGTTCAGGTTCAGTAGTCTTCTTCAAAGAGCAATGGCTTTTTGTCTTTCAAAGATGCCTCTTTCTCCTGAGTAGAGTCCAAGCTATAGTAACTACTCTCTTAATTCAGGTTCTTTGGACCCCAAATTACTTTTTTAGACACCTTTGACAGTTTGACCCCATCTCCTACATACAGCAGACCTCTATGTTCCAGGTCCTTAAAACAGCAAAAGTGTTTTCTTTTCATGTTTCCCTACCCATGTAAAAACTAGTTTCATTCTTTGCCAAAGTACCTTTCTGCATCTGAATTATACAGTAAAAAGGGACTATCTCCTCATTAAATTTATAGCAGATCTTAAGCAATCTACAATGCAAGAAAGACTATTCCTTGACCACCATAAATAAACCACCTTTTTATGAATCCCTCCATGAATTTTATAGCAGTGCCCAGTCCATCCCTATTAGCTTCTCAAGTGCCAGATCCAAAATATGCTCAGATAGCAACAAATCAGAAACCAGCCTTACAGTCCTGTTGGTACATCGCCTCTGTTCTGTGTCCAGAAAGCAACTTGCAGAGAAGACCGTGCTTTGCTGAAATGATGCCTTATCACCAATGTTTTTATGTGATCTCCTCCAGATAAGCCCCTAATGTTTCAGCTGGTGGACTGGATCTTGCGAGGGACCTCTCAGGTGATGTTTGTCAACAACCCTATCAGCGGGCTGATCATTTTAGTGGGGCTTTTCATCCAGAGCCCTTGGTGGATGCTCACGGGCTGTACTGGAACAACAGTGTCAACATTAACGGCTCTGGCCCTCAGTCAGGACAGGTAGGTGGTACCCCGTGTACGGGCACTTAATAAAAATTGATAGTTATGATAGCAGGAACCAGCTGATGGGTCATAGCTCCACATTTGTGTGTATTAGAGCAGCAGACCAGCTTTCCTTACAGACAGTTTGGAAGCAGTTAGGTGAGGACAGAGCTGCAGTCCAGGAAGAGCAGGCCTGTCCCCATATTTGGCTGCCTTTGTGAGAGCAGACAGTTATCACTCTCTGATAGCCACTGTCACAGCCATGAGGGTCCTTTGGGTCACAACGAGCTCCCTAGATCATCATCATTTGACGGTGTCTAGACTCTCCCCTTCCACATACCAGTGCGACGCAATATGGCAGCAACCTCACCCCTTTTTCATCCCTCCCCTATACTCCCCTCACCAGGAGCACGACACATAAATCACATTTCGGTGGGTCCCTGTGACAGGCCACCTTCAGCACAGCGTGATACCTTACAAACCTTTCCTTCCATCACAGATCAGCCATTGCAGCTGGGCTGCACGGCTATAACGGGATCTTGGTGGGACTGCTCATGGCCGTCTTCTCCGACAAAGGCGATTACTACTGGTGGCTTCTTTCTCCTGTGGCAGTTGTATCAATGGCCTGGTAAGTGCCACTTCTCCTCCTAGGGAGAATTCTCGGAGAATGAGGAGTCCTGCTACATACAGCTTAAACACATTGGAAGTCCCCTCTGCCCAGGCCCCTACGCCAGCAGTTTCAGCCACGGTGGCACTGGAAAGAGGCGTTCATTGATACACAGAGCTTGTGAGGCAAGTTGGTGGGGTGCTGAGTGCACAGGCAACGCTGGTTACAGCACACTGACAAAGCAGAAGCCCCACTTCAATGCTCTGCAAATGGCCCTCACCAGCAGGGCACATTCAGGGTGGATGTCGTCATGCCCAAGACCACAACGGTTCTTCCTCATCCAGATGCTGACCCGACCCCGTGCTCTCCCTCAGGCTGAATTCAATAATCCCCCTCTCCGATACGCAACCAGTCATGAGCAAATTTAATTCCTCCAAGTAACTCCGAACGCCAGACAATGTCCTTTCAGGATGAAATTTACCATTTCTAAATGTGGACCCTAACAGCACTGCAGAATCTATTTAACAGCCTTAACTGAAATTAATTCAAGAGTCACATTTTAATCACTGTTAGCGGTAAGATGCAAGTCATTATTGCATTCCACAGCTTTTAAGATCAGATTTTTTTTCACGTTTTATTTCTTTAGTCACTCCCAGCAAAGGTCATTTTGTAACAACCTCTTAAAACCCAGGACATTTTGCAAGAATGTTCAGTTCATCTTGTCAGCCAGAATTCCTTGGAGCCTTTTGTTCAAACTTTTCTTTGTTCTTTTAGTTCACAAGACTCTAGGGTAGAGCCAAAAGGTTTCGAAATTAGACAATTCAGTGATTTTTTTTCATCTGATACTTTGAAATTCAGCTTTAGAAGTCAGCATTTCTTTAATTGTTTCTTTTTTTTCCTGACAAGATGTATACACTGGCAGAAGGTTTGTGTTTCAGCACAGAAATTAGGACACCGTTTTCACTGAAGCGATGATTTTTTTTTTTTTTTTTAAAAAATCCCTACAGCTACAAGCAAGGAAATCTGTAAACTGCTCTGGGAACTAAATTTGTCATAAAAGAATAGGCTTCATCTGATATTGTACAGGGAGAACAAAGCATTTTTTCCACTGATAGTATCTACACAACAGGACACAAGATGTTGCTTTTGAAATGCCAAATAGTTTAGGTGGAGATTTTTTATTAGAACCAGCTTAATGACCTTCTAGCACTCAAATGCAGCTTCTTGAAAAAATCAAGTGCTTAAAACTGAGTTTTTGTAAGCTGTGAAATGTCCACTGCTCCTTGGAGCTTGACCATAAGAGCTATTCAGCTCACTTATATCAGAAAAGATCAGCTGGAACAGGCACCACACAGGCCATTTACATCAAGGACAGGACCTGGGCATTCACTCTCTTCCACAAGCATTCTGGGCCCAGTAAAAAGCAGAAGATATCTTGCCAATATGGTCCCACAAAGTCATTCATGCAGGACACCCACTTCAAGCAGAAATAAGGCAGTTTGGAAATGTCCTGAGGAAAGCAGGTGTGGTGAATTTTATATGCCAGGTTCTACAGCCAAGAACTTTGGGAAAAGTCATGGTATCTCAAGGTTTGCATGCTTTTTAGTGTTCAGTCTCTAAATATTTTGAGGGTCACCCCAAATGCTTTGTATGCTCAATATGCTCAATCATGTTTCTTAAGAACTGAACTTGGTTATCAGAAAATGCCATATGATTTTGGGTGGTACCTAGGCAGCACATAGTAACACCAGTCTCATCGACATAAGCAGGAACATCAGCCAGGGTCTGGGTTGTGTCTGGCACAACACCTTTCACAGCTCTATTACATGGTGACTTCATCTTATACTCTGTCAGGCTCTGTATGTCCTAAGGACTCCTCATTCCCCCAAAATAGTGTCTAACATAGTAAATATTTTACATCTTTCCCAATGGAAAATTTTCCATCTTCTTTGATCACTTCCTCTGCTTTATTTCTCTTCTAGAACCATCTTCTGGTATCCTTACAACTATTTAACACACAAAAGACAAAGGACAACATTTCTAACTCCCTCTTGCCCCATCAAGATGGGAGCTTTTTATACCATGTAGAGTTCTCCAAAGTGGCATTCCCAAAATTCTGTTTCATGTTAGATTTTTGTACAGAATAAGAAGTCACATAACTTTTCTCCATCTGTTCCTAAATGCTGTACTGGATGCATCTCTTCATTGACTCCCTGAGCTCAGCATACCAAGCAGAGCGCTTCCACACCAGCCAACTGTCCCAAGTGAAGGGTGTGGAGCTTCTACCATCTATGGACCAACGTGATAGCTGTTGCAAAAAGATGAATAGCATTCTGCAACTATTTGTCTGATGCAGAATAATATATTAAGGTGCTCACTACCCAACGTTTCTGAAAGGAATGGCATTGGCTTATATTTACCAGAGGTTATGGCCAAAGTGGTAGGGTGTTTCACCACTATAGTTGTTATGAAAATCTTATTTCTCTTCTCCTTCTCTTCTCAGTCCAATCCTGTCTAGTGCTTTGGGATCCATCTTCACTAAATGGGACCTTCCTGTTTTCACTCTGCCCTTCAATATTGCCGTGACTTTGTACTTGGCAGCCACAGGACACTACAACCCCTTCTTCCCTACAACCCTCATCAAGCCTGTAGCATCAGTGCCCAATATCACCTGGTCTGCAATCAATGTGCCACTGGTAAGCTTCACCTCAACAACCTTATGATATTTACTTAATAAGTTGAGAGTGAATGCATTCAGCTCGGGATAACAATTTCATATGGGTCAGAATGGCTATATGACATGTAGCCAGTAGCAATATTCACAGAAATACATGGCTCAGTTCAGTCCGTAGAGGAGAGTGCTATAAAAGCCCCAGGGACTGTGCTGGCTGATCCAGCAGAAAGGCTGATTGAGCCTGAGGGAACAGAGGTGCTGAACCTCTCACTCCACCTAAAGTTAGACTACCCCAAAACAAGTCTTGACTGCTGTCACTACAGAAGCACGTCGGGATATTCATTCCCGCCGTCCACATGTGGTTAAAACGACATCAGCAAAACAGTCAGTGACAATATGAAAAGACAGAAGAAATGTCACTGTCCTAAAGGGACAGAAACTCATTTATACCCAGTCCCCTCAATTCAGCTCTAGCACTGGAGGGTCACCTTCCCAAAGCAGCGTAAGAGTAACTGATATGCTTCATATAATATATAGTAAACTCAAATCAGCCAGCCCCACCAGAGTATCACTGCCTAGGAAGTTTACGGTTTTTCTCCTTCACTAAAGTCACCAAAAAAAATGCCAAAACCTCCACCCTGCCTTCAACCACCATATTACCATCACAAAAGAAATAAAACATGCTGGAGGGAAGGGAGGCCATCCAGAGGGACCTTGACAGGTTTGAGAAGCGGGCCCACACGAATATCATGGAGATCAACAGGTCCAAGTACAAGGTCCTGCACCTGGGTCGGGGCAATCCCAAGCACAGACACAGGCTGGTGGATGAGTGGATGGAGAGCAGCCCTGGGGAGAAGGACTTGGGGGTGCTGGTGGGTGAAAAACTGAATGAGAGCCAAGAGTGTGCGCTCGCGGCCCAGAAAGCCAATGGCATCCTGGACTGCATCAAAAGCAGCGTGGCCAGCAGGTCCAGGGAGGGGATTCTGCCCCTCTGCTCTGCTCTGGTGAGACCCCACCTGCAGTGCTGTGTCCAGCCCTGGGGACCCCAGCACAAGACAGACACAGAGCTGCTGGAGCGAGTCCAGAGGAGGGCTACCAAGGTGGTCAGGGGGCTGGAGCACCTTTCCTACGAGGACAGGCTGAGAGAGTTGGGGGTGTTCAGCCTGGAGGAGAGAAGGCACTGGGGAGACCTTAGAGCAGCCTCCCAGTGCTGAAAGGGGGCTGCAGGAGAGGTGGGGAGGGACTTTTTACCAGGGCCTGCAGTGACAGGACGAGGGGTAATGGTTGGAAGCTGGGAGAGGGCAGGTTTGGACTAGGTAGAAGGAAGAAGTTCTTCACCCTGAGGGTGGTGAGGCCCTAGCACAGGTTGCCCAGAGAAGCTGTGGCTGCCCCCTCCCTG